GAACAAAATACAAAGCACAAACTGCTGGTGCATTTGGATATTGGCAGAGTAGGCAGAGACTGCCACTGCCACCTCAGCACAGCACACCTCTCTCTCTGACCATATTTTGGAGGTACTGGGTGACTTCATCTTTCTCTCAGTGTGAGATTTGGCTGGCATGGCAGACAGTGACAGTTTAACATCATTGGGAGGTGACATCTGAACAGATGTCATTGCTTCTTAGCTAAATTTACAAGCTAAATTACAAGGTTTGGACTCTGCCACAAGCAACACACAGATGAGAAACCTGTTGAATACTTCTGTACTCTCACCCAAATTTAAATCCCACTGTACTATACAAAATCAGTACATCACTTAGAGCTGTTATTTTCTTATTAAAATGTTTAACGAGATCACATAAACATGGCACATCAAACTAGGATCAGTAAAGGGACCCAAAAACAAGCATGAAATAAGCAAAAAATGTCACAGCTGGATATGCACTAGAACCAAACAAGATACTTTCAGAAGCAATGATTTGCACTACTGAAATTTATAAAGGAGCATTTTTAAAAGCTTCCCACCAGTCTGTCACAACTGGTTCTTTACACTGGAAAACAGCTGTGATCCTCAGAAGCATTACTGGCTGAGCCGCATCTCAAATTCCTGATATGCTAGAGCATTATAAAAAATTAAGTGGTATTTCCTTAAATTATGTAAAAGCATCATTACATCCTATGAGTGCAAAACTGCTTTCTCTCAAACTTAACAACAAGAAAAATCCAGGAAAAGCTCTTTTGCCTAGACTGAAAAAAATCACCTGATAGTAATTAGTCTTTATTGAGAAAATCTGCATAACTTGACACACAATGCTGTAATTGGATCTGTAACAAGTTTCCACATCTATGCCAAGTTATCAAACTATATAAATACAACTAATCCATTAAGATAAGACTTTGGAACTTGGGATGCATATTCCAGTTCAACTGTCTTTATCACAAATCAGCTGTGTGACTTCCACACATCACTGCTTCAATGTCCCAAGTATGAGGAAAAGAACTACATGTCCATACCTCAACACTAATGTGGACCTTCATAGCAATAATCAAGGCAAAAACATAGGCAACATGTATAGGCAACATGTTTGGATACAAAACTATCATCACTCCTGTCTGGTAATCCCTCTCAACAGTGTGGTTTTAATTTTTAGGTTTTAGTTTTTGTGCAGAATTACAAACACATGCAACAAGACTGCAGTGCACATTTAATAAAAATCTTACTTCTTTCACATCTAGGACTTCACTACTTTTACTCATTGCCTGCCTGTAGCTTCTTTTCCCTTCCTATAAACCAACTATCCTCCGTCAGACAGTCACGTTTCAGGTAAAGGCAGACTTCATAGAAAGCATTATTACTACTGCTACTACTGCTATTATCATTATTACTATTTTTATCATTTCAGTGCCATACAACAGACAATTGATACTACAGCCTTCAGTCATGGAGTGAGTTTGTCTTATCTAACCAACATAGCCCACTATGTAGTGCAATGAGAGCAAGTTAAGAAGCAGCAAGTAAAAGTAACCACATATTTAACTACCAAACAGCTACAGAAGTTTAATACTGATGCCTGTAAAATACACAGCTGCATCTTCCATACTCAAAGTTAAAGGCCCTTGCTAAAGCACAGGAATATATATGAAATCCTACCAGTACAAATGACAATATACATTTTAGGTACTTGCAAGTTCTGTTATTTTACATGCCGTCTCACACAGCCAGTACACTCAATAGCTAAAGTCTAACACAAAACATATTTACTTTACCAAGGTAACCCAGTTTACTGTCACTGCAGAAAACTGCCAAATAAAGGCAATATTGAGAGAAAAACCTGAAGAAACTGCAGTCACTTTTCAGGCAACAAACCCAGCCCCTATCTGCCATTTATGTGTCTATTTCCTTTTGTTTCCCTCCCACCTGATGATGAGCCCCTCCAATTACAGCAAAACTATTCTCAAGGGGAGGACCTGATGTACTGAAACTTACAACAAAGAGTAACTTCTTAGAAGAAGATAGAAGATATTCAGCTCCTCACCACAACAAGCTGGTTGCTATTTAATTTGACTAAGTGTTCACAGGGTTTCTTCTCCACTGATATGTTCAGTGACACATGAATATTATTTCATGTCGTGCTTTAGTAGTGTCAATCAACCTCAGAAAAACCACAGTGCAACATTCACTTCTTCCCTTGCCTCAAGGGAAGGTAAATACAGCCTCCTTTTATTAGGAGGCCTCCAAAATTACAGTAAAAACAATCCAATTAAACACTATGAAAAGTATCATGGTTCTAGAATACGTAGGTAGATTGATGATTTTTAAAAACTATCATAGAGTTTAATTTTACAAAATGCTTTTCTTAGTAACTTACTTTTATCTCTGTAATCCCCAACATCATAAAAAATATACAGTGGCCATTATCCTTTCTAGTACTCCAGATGGGCTAATCCAACGAAGCCATAGTATCTTCCAAGAACTTTCATGGAAGAGTGGGAATTTTGCCCAATGGAGCAATTTCTCTACATCTCTTTTTCGCTTTATGAAACACTCAGGCAGAAAAAGCTCCAAAACACTGCCAAATCTAACTTCTTCAATATCAACTTCAAAGGCTGATGTGACATTAGATTTAAATCAAAAACGAGAAATCCACCCTCACGCAGCTTACACAGCACAAGAGATCCTGCTCTCACACAACCACATGCACAGACCTGAGGATACAAGATGCTTTTTCAGCATCTTCTGTGACTAACAGACTTAAAAACCAAGCATTAACTCGTGTAAATCAGACACGGTACATGCCCTATGTGCTGTTCCAGGTCATCTGTCTGGTACAGCTGCCCGTATCTGCTGCCTACTCAGGCCTGCACCGAGCTCTCCAGAAGGCAGGCCTCACTCAAGGCACCAAAAGCTACTCCAAAATGTCCTGCCAAGGATTACAGCCAGGGTTACAACACTTAGCCCTGTGGGCTGACTTTCCCACTGAACTAAATTCCCTCAAACTACGGCAGAAAGCTGCTGCACTTGGTTTCCTTCCAAGCCAAACTGGGGAAGTTAATCAAACTACAGGGACCACTCTGCACTCCAGACACAAAGAGGTAAAGGAACCTCAGCTGGCAGAAAATACCCCTTGCTTCTATGTCTCACTTTCAGCAGACCCCGGACAGTTGTGTATTATTGCCTTCTCCTGAGACAGTGCTGCCTATTTATGGGATGTTGTTCTCTGGGATGTGAGAGATTAATAATGTCTCAGCCGTGATCATGATGTCTCTAAGAGGACTTTCCAAGACTAGTTGTTCCTCTGGATTATTCCAGGTCTGAGTCAGCCCTTCCCATTTACATTTCCAAGAAAATATTCTTGAAGTATTTTTTACTGTTTTTGTGATAATTCCCTTTATTACAACAGCTTTAAAAATCACAGCTAAAGGAAGATGCTCCAGAGACAATCACTAATGCCAAAAAAACCCCAAAATGTACTACTAATGCTTCCAGTTAAATAAATACAAACATTACCATCCTTTATACCAACTGCATTTGTAGTACAGGAACACATACAATGAAGAGTTGTAAAGAGTACAAGAACCCTCCTGAATGATTAGGCACAACGTCTTTGCTACCTGAGCTTTTTCAGTTCATTAATATTTCACTTTTATATATTCCTCAGCTGCTTTTACAACATGTTCCTTTCTCTCCTTCTTAAGTATGAGCAAGGAGAATTGTTTGAAGTAACTAGCAGACCTTGCCTCACATCCCCACCTCCGTGCCCCCTGAGACTTTAACACTTCAAGTGCAATATATACTAGATAGAAAAACACATCTGGCATAGAGAGGGATAAGAGAATACTCTGAGTCTCCTTTCTAGTTACATTCAACTATAAAGGTGTGCAATAAGAAAATCAAGCATACTGCAGTTTGTCTATGCCAAGACACTTATTGCTGTCAATCCCAAAGGAGAAAGAGAGACATAAAGCTGGGAGGGAGGGGGGATCCCTTTTCTGTGGAAGAGCAAAATAACCCCATTCCTTTGCAAGACAACTTGCAGCAACATCCTTTCCTTGCCAAAAGTCAAAGACAACCTCTTTAGCTAGGAGGAGCAAAACAAAAACTGTCTAAAGGAAATAAAGGATTTCCATAAACCTCTTCCATAATAAGCACTACCATCACCATCTGCTCCACTTTTTGAGCTTGCCATGCGATTTTGGAAACCACATGCAGCATCCTCCAGCTCCTGCCTCCAAATCCATGGCAAAGGTCACACATGACAGCCAGTGGCCAAGCCCTACCCATTCCCTTTTCTGAAACCACTTCTTATCGTTTTCACCGGTTAAGCAGATTGCCTAACACAGACACAGGGAGGGAAAAGGGGGGGAACGGAAAGAAGAAACACCAAAAAATAAACAAAAAAAGGATGGGATTTCTTCCCCGTCACCTGCACCAGCGGGGCCGGAGGACGGCCAGCGGGGCACCGGGCACCGGCAGCCCGCGCCGTGTCCCCCGCAGGCCGGGCCCGACCAGCCCCGCACTGCCCTCGGGCCACCCCGGCGGCACCGCAGCCCCGGCCGGGCTGGGCCAGCCCCGGGGACACCTGCGGCCGCCCCGCCACAAAGCCGCCGGTGCCGCTATCCCCGCGCCGCCCGCCCGCCCTCGCAAATCCCCGGCGCTACCGGAGCGCGGCTGCCGGGGATCAGCGCGGAGCTGCGGCACCGGCAGCCCCGATCCTCCGCCGCAGCCGTGCCGCGGGTCGGCGCAGGGCGCCCGGCGGCCGCCGCCCCGCGGGCGGGGAAGCGAAGGCCAAGGCAGGGGGGCCGCCCGCGCCCCGGGGCGACACCCGCCGGATCACCTCGGCACCTGCCGAGCGGGGCGACCCGGCCCAGCCGCCCCGGGGCACCCGCACGCCCGGGACCCGGCGGCGCCCCGCGGCCTGGCCCGGTTGTGCCCGGCAATACCGCCCGCGAGGGACGCGTTACCTGGCCGGGCTCCTCCAGCGCCCGACGCGCTCGCCGTTCGCCGGCGGGGGCTGGGACCCCCCTGGCAGCGCGGCGCGGCACCGCCCCCGCCCCGCTGGCTCGCTGCTCCGCCGCGGCGCCCCGGCGCGGGGAGAATAATCCGTGCGGAGCTGCGGTGCCCCGGTCTGTCAGTCTGTCCGCCGGCCCGTCATGTTGCGGCCGGTGTGTGTGTGTGCGTGTGTGTGCGCAGCGGGCGGGGAGGAGGGAGGGCGGCAGGAGAGGAGGGAGGGATGCGGGGGCGGTCCGGGGCGGCGCTTCGCGCGTGTGCCGGTGCGGGGCGCGTGTTCCCGCGGCGCGGAGCGGACCTGCCTCGGTCTCTGCGTGTCTGTGTCTGTCTGTGTATGAGGGGTGATGAGCGTGTACTCTGTGCGGCTGTGTGTGCGCTGCCCCCTGTCTGTCCGTGTCCCTGTGTCCCCGGGAGGAGCAGCTCCCCCGGCCTCTTCGGGCGAGAGGCGAGCAGCGGAGAGGAGAAAGTCCGAGCTCCCCCCGGGAGGAACTCAGCTCCCTCCGGTGTGTTTACACTCACCATCTGCTCAGGGATTTGTACGTATTTTTCCCTTTCCCGAAGGACGGCGGAGCCCTCTGATTTCACTTCCTCGTCCTCTTTTCCATAGACGTCTTTTGTAATTATTTCCCAGTTGCTCCGTGGCCATCCCGGTGCATTGCTGGTCGTAGGGAGGGAATAAGGAAACGACGTTGAAGAAGCAGCTCCACACCAAGGACAAGTCTCGGCTGCACCGCTCTAAGAGCAGGAATGATTCCCTGGAATATCGGGCGAGGGCAGAGGTCAAATACATGGCATTTAGATGTAATGAATTAAGGTCCTTATTCAATTCAGAAGGATAAGGTAAAGCAGAGAAATAGCCGTGTTCTCTCTGACGAATAGTTAAGGAATATGACTGAGTTTTCATACCCTCTTTTTTTGCCGATTTATACAGGATCTCTGCTGCATCCCCCACCAAAATGAGCTACCTTGCCTCATCAAGAACAATTGAGAACAATGAGTGATGGCTTTAAAGTGACAGGCTGCAGATGCGTGCCCTATCCTCTCACACCAAACAATAACACGCATAAAACTTCTTGCATTGAACAAACACATGGACTTTGCAGACTTCAGTCTGAACAAGAATAAAGTGTGTTCATTCTGTAACATTTGTGCTTACACTGCAACTGCAACCCAAAGAACTTTCAACTATTAGGCTACAGAAAAATGCAGATCCAGAAGAGAGTCAAAGAGTTCTGAAAAATTTTGAGTAAAACAGATTTTGACAAAATACAGGTACAATTTAACAGCAACAATGAGGGTCCACTGAAATTCTGAATAAGAATTCTGTGAGAGTGCAGAGGTCAGTGTCATACTTGGTGAGAAAGCAACAAGAAACTGAATGCTTATGTGTTTACAAAACTAAACTTTGAAACAAGTGAGTTCACCACACCTAATTATATTTAAATATAACTGTCAACCTGTTCAACATGTTCACAGGATTGTTCAATGAAATGTGATAACCAAATCTGAAGGCATTTCTGTTTCTTCTTGGGCCAGATAATAAACCTAAACCAGATAAAATATTTTACAGTCACAGAAGAAAGTTTGGCATATGCAGCACATAGCAGCTCTGAAAAAAAAAATGCTAGGTGGAGAGAAACAATTTTAGTAACCTGTCATCTGCATTTAAAAGGCAAAAGATTTCATGTGACACAGCCCCAAGAGTGTTCATTATTGAAAGTACCTACCTTTCACAATGTGGGAATTTCAAACAAGAGTGTGCAGTAACCAGATGACTTTCCTGAGAGGTGGTTCACAACCCACAAAGTAGTTAAGCAACTGCAAGGGCATGAGTCGTCTCAGTGAAGATGAGGGTATTTGTCACAAGTGAAATTATGGGCCTACTTAACCACTGTGTTAAGCTGAGTCAGCCTTGACTGTAGAGGCTGAGAAATCTGTGTTTTGCTGAACCAGGCATCTGCTAAGAGTCTTGCATGATTTTTGAGCTCCATCTCCCTACCCTCCTTCATCCTTGTATTCAAGCAGAAGATTCACAGAGCCTCCTACTAATGGTTAACTCAAGCTCTCTGGTTTCTATCAGTTTTCTTTCCTGCCATTGCGCTGAAAGGGCAAAAAAAGCCCCTGTGATTAACTAGAATTTCCAGACACACTCACAAGTGATGCTTCCAGTGAAGCTGTCAAGGCTTTGATTAGTCCAGTGACACAGACAGACAAACAACAGAGACAGCAGCTAGCGGTTGTATGGAAAAATGTCACCTTTTCCAAATTCTAGGGATTAGTAGGGATCAAAAAAGGCCTAAACATGGTCATAAGCTTAAGCATTGAGTAATACCTGTGCTGAAGCAGGTTTGCTACCTGAGGCCCCAGCAGATTGCTATGGGAGTTACTGGAGGAGGAACACTTGTGGTCACCACACCCCAGATCTCCCCAAGCACGTGTAACCTAATTCTCTCTTCCCTGCAGTTTCCTACTGGTGTGGCCCTGGTGACTTCAGCAGAAGGCCTCTCTTTGAGGCTACGATAGGGTGTTTCACCAAAATCTTCATTAGGTTTTGCTACCACAACAAAGCCTTAAAAGGAAATGTCAGATTCAGAGGTGCAGATTCACCAGGATCAAGACATTCTCATTCACTGAGATATGTGTCATGAAAGTCATTACAACTGATATGTCTGATTCCCTTGCATCAGCTGTCTGCTCTCTGTATTCTCTCTGTTGGCATTCATTCCTTGTTGCCTGCCCAAGGATTTCATATTACCCCCATGCTTGATGCTGTCTCCTTCCAAAAATATAAGGTGAATTAATGTTTTTCATGCTTTTATCCCTTTGTTGTTTTGTTTCCACAGGTATGGATCCAGCATAGTCAGGCACAGGGGAAGCAGAGACATGTGAGGTCAAATTGGTTTCAAAAGCTGTGTCCATCAGGGTTGAGCATGTAACCCTGTGTGATCTTGAAGGTCTCAGCCCTTGACCAAACAAGCATCTCTTTGTTCTTGAGAGAAGTCCCAGGGCACAGAGAAGCTCTAGTCTGTCTAATTCAGTTGACCAGATATGCAAAGGTTGTCTCCCTAACTTCATTAATTTTGGGCCTGGCCAGAGCTATAAATAGCCCTTGGGGATAAAACAGATTAATTTCTGTTTTGTAGGAGCATTTTATGACCCTGAAAGGAACCAGTTTTGGAAGACTGGTATGCTGGAGGGGCTAAGTAAGCCCAGCAGTGACTCATGACCACGGGCTGGGAGAACCTTACCTTGGCACTGGGGTACACTGAGACATCTTGGGAGGTCCAGGGGATGTATGGACTTGACTAAATGTTTTTCTCTTACAGTACTGTTTGAGCCAGGTTGGCATTAGGGGTGTTGTCATACCATGGTGAGCATGGAGTGCTCTGGCCAGGTCCTGGTTTACTTTACCATCAGAGGAGAGGACAAAGAAAGCCTCCAGTACCAAATTGCTTCCACTGTCCTTTCAAGAGACATCTGTTCAGTGAAGCACTGTCACACTAATCAATATCTATTAGTTTTGTATTGCATATGATCATACCCACTTACACCTTTGGAGCAAGGATTAATCGAGTGACCTTCCCCTTGCTGTATGGTTCCATGTATTTCTAATGTACTGAATAAATACTGAAACCAGACAGTTTGTTAAAAGCTATGAATTTGATCATGCTAACACTGAAACCTCAAAGGAGGTTGAAGTCCACGTCAGTTAATCATAAAATAATAATAATCTGAAGCAGTTTTTGAGTTAAGGTTAATGCATTTTGTTCCCCACTTTTAAACAGGCTGTAAATTGATTTATACTGTCTCTTAGCTCCCTCAGCACCAATGGCAAAAATGACACCACTTTCTAGAGCTATAACCACCTTCACTACTGAAGCCAGAAGGAACCATTACAATTAGAAATACAGAGTTTCTGTTCATTCAGAAAGATAAATGCACCTTACACTTCAAAATTCAGTTTAGTAAATTGAACAAAGAAATGTTATTTGACTCCCAGTGGTGAGATAACAGACACAGTATCATCTTTGATGAAAAAATCTCCATTTTGGCACTAAAAAAGGATCAATCCCCATACCTGTACTTTTCTTTGTTTAGTCTTTTAGAACACCTAATCTATTTTGGCTTTACTATTTCCTTTCAAACCGTTAATGCAGATATTATCATTGCTGGAAATTGTGATGCCAATGAATGCATAACTACCACAGAAGAGCACCAAAAGATTTCTCTTTAACAAAGCAACTTCGTAAATATATTTAGCTGGTTAATCTGATTTCAAACACTGTCAATATGCAAGTTGCTTGCTTTGCTGTTATCAGTATAATCAAAAGCGTAAAAATCTTACCGCTCTGATATTCATCTAAATTAGATTAGTGGTAAAATTTGTTTACATGCCCATAGAGAAACATGCCATAACTGGAGAATGAAGTTTTGTTTATTTAGTTCAGTGTTTCACTGGCAAAACTCTCTTAGTAAAGACAAAAAATGCTTCCAACTCAGAGGCCTATTTCCCCAGTAAAATCTAGGCACACTGGCTGAGGATCTAATCCTAAAGTAGGTGAGCCAACTTCTGGTTCTCCATTGTAATCCCCAAAGCTCCACATGGATACATAAACCTGAAGGACTCCAAAGGACTTAAGCATTGTATTTTCACAAACAGCAGCTAATAAAAGCCTCCAATGGCTGCCTTGTGTGTTTCCATGCCTTTTTATTTGAACAACGGAAGTCTGTGTGAATGAGGTTTTACTTTTCATTCTCAACCATTCCACTTGGAGGATCCCCATGACAAAATATTTTGGTTCTGCAGGCTATCAGTGTTTATTTGTAAAATATTTGTAAATCTGTTGATCTTAGTACTTAAATTGTGCAAATATTCTGGTTTGTCTAGGGATTTTTTTTAAAGATTTTTTTTTTAACATTTACGTGTTTAGCAAAATTGAAGTTGACACGCATTCTTTCCAGCCTTGTTATTTATCCATTGTACTAAAGAGGAAAAGGAAGGAAATCTGCTGAAAGGAAAAATTGTATTTCTGCTTGTAATAGATTGAGTGCTAGTATTAAAAACATAGTCTGAGCATGGTATTCTGTACCAGAAAATAGAGGATTAAAAAAGAATAATATGTGCTGCATTTTATGGTATCTGTGACTCCAATACATCAT